AAAGAGATGAGATACCTATCAAAGCCAGAAATTTAAAACTGAAAACACTATGCATGTATGTAGAGAAGAAAGATGTTTCTGATGTAAGTTATGAGGTGATTTTGTCGAGTTCCTTATAGCAGTGTAAATGCAAATATCTCAAATAGTATGCACTAAAGAATTAAACATGCAACTTCACCCAAATGTTATTGTAAAATCAAGTAAAACAAATGACAGGATTTACTAACATTCAAGCTATATAGTACGTAGAGCAAGCAGCAAAGACCCACAGCATATCCTACCTCTCAATAGATTGGCACGCCATGTACCTGTAAGCATCTTTAAAGCTATGGAAATCACACAATGCATATATGAACAAAGAAAACAAAAATGAAAAAACTCTTAAACGAATTGAAACACCATTAACACTATTTCTAGGATTGATGCAAATAGAAAACAGCAGAAAACAAATCTCGTAATACCTTGGAAGTGTTACCAAAAGAGAATACCTTCGAAGTGGATCAAACGTTAAATGATTAAGAATAATATTAGCAGTATGACAACAAGTAAACATCTTAGTGCATTACCATAACATGTATATCGAATATATAAACTTAGGTAAGCCAATTTCCATGAACTCATTGAAAGTTATGAGATAATGATTGTTGAGAGATTCATTTTGTGTATTTTAACGAATTTACTAATTATGTGTCAATAGCCTAACATTCTAAATATTGTCAATTAATTCGAAGAAAAAAGCATCCTGTACATACTAAAGATTCTTCAAGCAAAAGATGTAGGATTTTCCAGTTACCAACACAAATAAACAATGTTTCCAAAACAAAAAGATACAAAAAGAGCGGACATTTGAACAACAGGGAACTTGATAAATCTAACCCAATCAGAACACCACCAACCAGGAAACACAGACAAGCTCACAACTCCATGGAAATGAAAACTGTTAAATGATCACTAACAAAGGGGCACCAGGACAAGAAAGTTACGTGCATGACTAACCTCCAGTGGTGTCATCAATTCAAAAGGCTTCTCCCAAGTAGATAATCCTGTCCTCCTGTTGTAATAAAATCTGAATAGTTCATACATCAAAGAACAATATTCGGTTAGCACAGATTATCAGCCATAAAAACTACTAAAGTACAACGTTCTAACAAACTGAAGCTTAAGAAACAATTAGGTGGAATAGTAAGAATCACCACCTTCTTCCTTCAGCAGATGTATGCTCTCTCCATTCTGCCACGGTCCCTCCTGCAGGGTTAGGCCGTACACCTGTTTCCTGAAATTTTAAAAGATAATGAATGCTACCAAGAAATCAGCATAGATAGCTGAGGAGCATGAAAATAGGCTCAAAGCTTAAAAAAGAGGCTTCTTACCGGAGCAATGGAAGTGATTACAGCAGGCCGTTCACCGGTGTGCTGCAGAGGTGTAACTTGTCCCTCCGATGAAACATTAGGTGCATGCAATTGAGATATAGACTGATACTGGGTGGAGTCATTAAAACTTCTTGGCATTTGACCATAAGAAGAAGGTGCAAACTGCATAAGTGCGACTTATGAATTCAAGGCCTAAAGTAAAATAAAAAGTCAACCAACAGCACTCCTGAGACTTACAGTGTATGATGAAGAGAGAGGTGTTCGTGGGCCACCTAAGTTGGGCATGGCGTTATTTGGACCTTGTGAATTAGGCTGAGGTAGGGGCAATTCAGATGCAAAGTTTCTGTTGGGCTGACTAACTGGCAATGGAATGGCCTGTGATGGCAGCATACCATGACCTGGCTGACCAGATCTTGGAGGTAACTGCTGCATTGGTTGCGAAAACTGGGGTTGGTGAGTTGGAGGAGGCAGTCTAACATTCATCAATGGAACACCCCTTCCAACATGCTGAAAATTTTGAGAAGCCACAGAAATGAACTCCTGCGAATGTGGTGCTGGAACTACTGGCCGGAACTGCAGCATAAAATTAAATTGGAAGGGGACTGTTTTTAGTTATCATTAAAAATATACAGGTGACAAAAAAATTCATTAAGAAGGAATGTGTTACTTGAAAAGACATGGGCGGCAAACTTCGAGGAGGGTCAACAGAACCAACCATAGGAGGCCGAAGAGGCTATACAACAAAAAGAAAAAGGAGAAGATAATTAGCAAAGCATAAAAATATAATTGGCCAGCATCTATTTTTTAATTTTTTTTATGGAATCAGAAGCTTTCATACTATTGAAAGGTAAAATATTTTTGAAGGGAAAAGTCAAATACATGAGAAAGGATAACCATTAAAATAATGGATGGTATGGATCCATAAGAAAGGAAAACATTGCCTCATCACCTTTTTCAAGTGCAAATGGTCTTGCATGTTGCTGGAAAATAGAAAGGTAACCGAAAAATGAACAGCCCTAACATCTAAAAGGTAATAAGCAAGGAGGGAAACCAAAATATTAAATACATTAGAAATAATGAACTTAGTCAATTATTTATACCACAAAGTTCACCGCTTATAAAACCAGAAACAGAAAGAACAAAAAGGAAAGTATTAAATAGTTTAAAGATAAAAAATAAAAAAGTCAACTTAAATTACAAAGCCCAGGTTCAATTCAGGTCACTGGATAAGAACCTATGAAGATAAAAGACAAGCCTTGATGCATGAAGCAAAGACGCCATGAGTTCCTTAATCTATTTGGAATGCAGATAAAAAGTAATAGCCTAAAAGACTCCAGAAATGTAACCCTTCAGACCAAATTGATGAGAAAAATAGGATTAAAGCAAAACATGTACAAAGAAAATAGAAAAACATAAAAAAAAATCTCTAAATATAAGTGATTTACAAGATACACACGTATAAATACAGTTTTCTTTACACATTACCTGTAGACCTGAAAACTGAGGGTTATTGGCCATTTCAGTAAGATATGCCTCTGAAAACAACTGCAAAGTCAACAACCATCATTAGCATCTTACAGATCCAAGAGAGCATGTCAGGATGGAAGCTTTATAATCAAGTAGTGTAACATCAAAATTCCATTTAATGGAAAAATAGATTCCATCAACAAACACACGATAATACATGATCAAATCTAGTCTACGAAGCAAATATAACCTAAATTTTTATGGCATGGAGAGTTGCAGATTTAGAAACATGTTCATAAAACAAGCACAGCTAAGGAGAGGTATTAAGACAACTCAAGCGGCAATGCAAGGAAAAGATGAGACAAGAAAAGGAAGGGTAAGGTGAGGCAGCACCAACTTATAATTTGATTGCTCAAAGTCCTCTATGACGGTTCATATGCGCAACCAAAATTTAAAAAGCATTAGACAAAGGAGTGATCTGCAACCAAGATTGAAGGGATGAAATCTGCAACCAAAACAGAAAACAGAGTAACCCAAAAAATTAAATAATTCATTCTAAGTAGTCAAAATTATGTAAACCATTTTCGTGTTTTCAGGTTTCTGTTCAGAAATTATAGAACTACTGACAATTACTATTTCTACAGCTTTATATAAACTGATATGAAAAACTTGCCCAAACAGACAGGTTTAAATTCTCAGAATAGATATATATATATACACGATATTTTCCATAAGCCAAAATGTAGGCTGTGACGGTGCCACCACCCAATCCCAAACTAACCCAGAATGTCAACCAAATCAAATTTAAAGCCCTAATTTCACATTTAAGATTCTCAATTGAAGCAAAAACTGACCTAATTAATTGCATACCACACTGAGGACAATTGAAGTTGAAGATGCATGCAATATATATGTTGGAAACTGCATTAAAAGTTTGATTCTTTGGACATAGTATTGAAATTTTCGCGTGATAGTGAAAAGGATACTGAGAATTAAGATGAAAATGAGAGAAAAATCGTACCAGCTGAGTGAAGAAGCTGTGACGGTGAAACACGTGAGAACTTGAAGCCTTCAATTTGATTTCGCTGTTTATTTTTTCGAAGCTTTAATTACAATGGGGCGGTTTATATCGTCGTTAAATTTTAATTAAACCCTTCTTAATAGGACCTTTTATTTGTTTTTTAAGGACATTAACAAAGTGTGTCGTATACTTAACAAGACTTCTCACTCTACTAGATGACCGTTGGGTTTGCCGACCATGAAAGGGGTAAGAAATAATGTTTTACCATATGTAGTCAAAATAATTCTGTAATTCACATACACCCAAAAACAAAGATATGGTAAATACAGGTACTATTGTGATTTTTTTTCCCTTTTGGAGTATTCAAATAATAAGGTGAATTGTATCTTGATGTATATCAAAATAATATTCTGCATTCGTGGGTTAGGCAATTGACTAATGCAATGTGCATGTTTTCTTGTACTCGGGTTTGATCGCCTTCTCATTTCCTTACTTCCTTTAACCCTGCTGTATCGTTATCCCTTTCTCTAAAAAGTAAATATTTTAAGGGAAATTTTCATTAACTAAACAACAATGTGTTGGATGCAATATTGTCAAATGAACAACTTGAATTTTAAAACAACAATAGCTTATCTATTATTTAATTAAATATAGAAGGGGTTTCGTGAGCAACTGAAGGAATTTGAGTTGAATGCAAAGACCAAATAGGGTTCTAATTAAATTTGAAATTCTTTTTTAATACAATTAAAGTTGATTTTTTTTTTTCCTGTTTTCGAACTTAAACCTTTTCTAAAATTAGAAAGAAAAGTACCACGAACAAGAGTTAGTTGGTAATTAAAGTTAAAATTCTTGATTAAACTTAAAAAGTTTAAAGTTGAATCACAAATATTTTAAACTTAATCTAAAGGATGTCCACAATTTGTAACTGAAGTGGCGTGTGATCAGATCAGTAAAATATAAATTTCAGATTCAAACCTCCTTAAAATTCCGAAAAACAGAGCACAAAAAAACCATACAAACGCTAATTGGTTGCACTGATCACCATTTATCTGTAAATTCCAATCAAAATCCAAAACCACAAGCCGATTGGAGCTCCACGTCCCCACTGAGCTTTCACGGGGTCTCATCCTTTTGTCACAATCTTCAGCACCCATGACGGGTGTCCTGAAGGACCCCTCTCCTAGCTTCTCCAACTTTCTAGACCGGCTTCTCTCTGTTTCCAGCACTCTTTTTATGTCCAGCCACCACACCATGGCCTTTCACATCTCTCACTCTATTCTCCAAGCTCTCCAATGGCTTCTGTTTCTGTTGCTTCACGTTACTCCGCTTCTTCATGGCCTCCCAAGACCAACAACAGTAGAGCCGTTGTCTCATCTTTCACCAAAATCCCATTTGGTAAAAAGACCCAGTACTTCTCTTTATCTCCGTCCTCCAATCCCACTTCAAAAAGACGTCGTCTTTCATTTTCCATGAAAAATGATCAAGAAAACGAACCCAGTTCTTCATCTTCTTCGGCTGTTGTAATTTCTGAGAAGCCAAGTGATGACAGTGATACCCAGAAGAGTAAATTGCTAGCGGAAGAAGTTGAAACGGGTAAGGAGAGTGGCTCTGAGCCTGAGGAGAAGGAGAAACAGCAAGAAATGGATTGGAAGACAGATGAGGAGTTCAAGAAGTTCATGGGAAATCCCTCTATCGAAGCCGCAATAAAGTTGGAGAAGAAGAGGGCAGATAGGAAGCTCAAGGATCTTGATAGGGAAAGTAGTGGTAACCCACTTGTAGGGTTCTTTAATAAAATTCTGCGTGATAGTTTGACTAGAGAGAAGGAGAGGCTGGAGAAAGCTGAAGAAGCCTTCAAGGCAATTGATCTTAACAAGGTAATTTTCTCCTTTCTGTTTATGTTTTCATGAATGGTTCTTTTCTTTAGAAAAGAATCCTTGCCTGGGATTCATTTTTTTTTATAGTATAAGTGAAAAAGCAAGCACCTTTGGATGTGATTAAATATACTTGTTTATGCCAGAAGATGACTTGATATAGAGTATAATTTACTACCTATTCATTTATTGTATGGTATCTTTTATATCTTTAGTCATTTTGTAGGGTGCATTTTATTAGTTATGCCAAAAAGCACCAAGCTTTTGCATCTTATTGTGTCTATTTCATGTGGCAGTTAAAAAGTTGTTTTGGATTTGATTCATTTTTTCCCACTGATGTTCGGAGATTTGGAGATGGGGGCATTTTTGTTGGAAATTTGAGGAGACCAATTGAAGAGGTCATGCCCAAATTGGAGCAAAAACTGTCTGACGCGGCAGGAAGGGAGGTTGTGTTATGGTTCATGGAAGAAAACACAAATGACATCAGAAAACAGGTATTTAAACCAACTCTATGACTATTAATTATAGGCTAAGTTGTTTCCTGTATTGATCTTAGCCTGTTAAATTGAGATTGAAATCCTTAGTTTGATGGTCTGTGCTCTAGGAGGTTTAGGAGTTGAAAATTCTGTAACTTTCTTAATGGATTCCCTGTTATTTACTTGCCCAGTACCCTGAGGGGAAATAGAAAATTGTTGTTGTTTCTGATTTTTTACAATGTTTATTCTTTAAGGTCTGTATGGTGCAACCCAAAGCGGAAATTGATCTACAGTTTGAGTCAACCAAGCTGAGCACTCCTTTGGGTTATGTTAGTGCAGTAGCCTTGTGCGTTGCTACTTTCGGAACAATAGCTCTGACGAGTGGCTTCTTCCTCAAACCTGATGCTACATGGGATGACTACCTAGCTGATGTTGTGCCTCTCTTTGGTGGTTTCATATCCATTTTGGGCGTTTCTGAGGTATCTTTTTTTGCATTTGACTTGTCCATCATTAATCTAGGCAATTCCTATTATTCTCTGGCACATAATTGTCAAGGATGTAAATCTAACATGAAAAGGATGCTATTTAAATAAGAATTGGATATACCTATTATGAGGAGACTTTGCATTCCTTTGTTCAGATGTGATGGTTATGAGATTATGTATTCCTGATTTCTTTACGTGTTGTATGTGATGCAATTTTCTTATCACTTTTTCATTCTGACAAGTTTGTTTTACACAGATAGCCACTAGAGTGACAGCAGCTCGCCATGGTGTAAAACTCAGTCCATCTTTTCTTGTGCCATCCAATTGGACAGGGTGTTTGGGAGTGATGAATAACTATGAATCACTGCTTCCAAATAAGAAAGCTCTTTTTGACATTCCAGTTGCACGCACAGCTAGTGCATATCTTACATCCCTGGTGCTTACGGTTTCTGCTTTTGTGGCTGATGGAAGCTTTAATGGGGGTGACAATGCATTGTAATTTCTTCACAGACCCTTTCTCCGAAGCATAAAAATTGCCTTTTAAAATGCCTAGAAAAGATCCTCAATACTTCTTTGTGCATACCAATGGTGGTGTTGCTCACTTTAAGTATAGTTTCAGCAGTATATTGCAATATTTCTTCAACAAAAACTCTAGCATCACTGTTTTAAACTGTCATACCACACTTAATATTTGGTTTTAACAATCATTTCTTCTTTTTTTGTTGGCAGGTATATAAGGCCTCAGTTCTTCTATAACAATCCCTTGCTTTCTTTTATCCAATTTGTTATTGGTCCTTATACGGATGACCTTGGAAATGTGCTGCCCTATGCAGTTGAAGGTGTTGGAGTTCCTGTTGATCCCCTTGCTTTTGCTGGACTTCTAGGTGAGTTCCTCAGCCTTCTTAATCCATTTACAGTTTACTGTCGTCCTTCTCCCCAAACAACCGACTGTGAGTTGGCTAAAAAAGTGGAGCTATGGGGTATAAAAGAATTGTTTTGTACAATTTGTATGATCTTTTAGCCTTTTAACCTCAAATGTTTCTGCAGAACAACTGTGAAATAATTGAACATTTGTTTTTTGAGGGAAAAAGAGGTTTATATGATTACTTTGTGCCGAAATCCAGTATTTGCTTAAATATTAGTATCTAATCTGTATACAAGGTATTGACTAGATTTCTTGGCAGGCATGGTGGTGACTTCTCTGAACTTGTTGCCATGTGGGAGACTTGAAGGAGGCCGCATTGCGCAAGCCATGTTTGGAAGAGGCACTGCTACTCTGCTATCCTTTGCCACATCACTTTTACTTGGTATTGGTGGCCTAAGTGGAAGTGTCCTTTGCTTGGCATGGGGGTTATTTGCAACTTTCTTCCGGGGTGGAGAAGAAATGCCTGCAAAAGACGAAATCACCCCCTTGGGAGATGACAGGTTTGCTTGGGGTTGTGTTCTTGGCCTCATCTGCTTCCTCACGCTTTTCCCCAACAGCGGAGGGACATTCTCCAGCTCATTCTTCAGTGCACCATATTTCAGGGGTGATTTGTAAATAGGCCGATAACTGTAATCTATATTTTGACACTCACTTCTGACTGATAAATAAGGTGAAACGCTAAGGGAAACAGTATATACTTCCAAGCTATAATGCAAGTTAGGTTTGAATTGTATATATTCAATGTTTCATTTCAGTTACCTTATCCGTTTATGAATATGAATCCTGATGTTTTTTTTTTGGTGCTAATGTTGTGTTTATGTCCAAAACAATATCATTTGAGGTTGAGGGTTTAGCGTTTTGGATTTAGAGCATCCGCAATGATGCTCTCTATTTCTTAGCTAAAATTTAGCTAAAAATATAAGAAAGCTATTTTAGGAGCTCTCTAAAAAATTTCAACTCCAACCATACTCCCTAATTTGGAGAGTCATAAATGCTATAACTTTTTTTTGATTGGTCCATCTCTATTAAAAAATAAAATAAAAAATAGTTAGCATTAAATAAAGGTTTGAAATACTTATTAAATAAGGCAGCATTAAATTATAAGGAGCCACTATGAGTACTTTCTCTCTCCTCAGATTTAGGAGCTCCTAGAGGACTCCCTATTTTAGGAGGTGGATAGGGAGCATGGTTGGAGTTGCATTTTTACAATTCTTCCCTAAAATTTGTCTAAGAAGGTGGTTTAAGGAGCCCATTGCGGATGCTCTTAGGTTTTAGCATTTAAGGTTTACATCGAAAAATAATTGAATAGAATTCTAGAACCAATCAATCATTTCCCATTATAATACATGTCGTAACTTCTATCACGTCACACACCAATCATTTCCCATTATCAATTTTAATAAAGATATGAGGCTTTGAAAATAGAAAGATAGTAATTAACAGTCAAACTACATGTCGTAAATTCTACTATATCACACACCACCAATTACACTTGTCTTGTATGTTATAGATCAGACCATGCTATATACCAATTTCAGTTGTGACACATGCCTTGCCACAGGTTATACAATGTCATACTCATACACCAGAGAATCATTCACAATTACTATGTATGTCGTAGTCGTGCAGGTCAATTTTGTTTTTGTTTGTTTCGTTTATTTTTATTTGAAATATAAGGAAAACTTTCCGTGTGACAATATAAAAAACACCCGTGTTTAATAAATGTTGTCGAGTGTTTGCCTCATATTTGAAAAGTTAAGGCTGTTACACAAGTTGGATAACACTTATAAAGAAACTGTAAAATAAAAAAAAGTAGTCTTGTGTCCATGCAAAAATTCGTTCTTCTTTCTTCCCACGCCGACTCAAAGCTTCCAATTTCGCAACAAAAGAAGCAGATAGAGAATTCTCACAACCAAAACAAAGGCAGCCATGAAACTGAGAGTGAGATCCATAGAAACCAAAGAGACCCTCCGAGTCGAGGTCCCCAATCTCTGCTCTCTCCACCAGCTCAAGCAAACCATCTCCCAATTGATCTCAGCCTCTCCTTCCTCTCTCCGCCTCTCCCTCAACCGACGCGACGAGCTCCACGCGTCCTCTCCTGACGACTCGCTTCACTCCCTCGGCCTCACCTCCGGTGATCTTATCTTCTACACCCTCGACCCCTCCTCCCAAACCCTGGCTCCACCTCAGCATTCAATTTCACATTCGTCCGTACAATCCCATAACCAAATCCTCACCACTGGTGTGCCTCAAGGTTCGAATTTCCCAAACCCTGAAACCCTAATTGGCGAAGGGTCTGCCGCGGGTGATTCGATTGCTGAAGAACAGAGGTCTCTGGTTTCGAATTCGGAAACCCTAGTGGCTTCTGGTGCTGAAAGCATGGAAATTGATGATGGGTCTGATGGGATAGGGTTGAAAAAGTACTCGGTGCCCTTTTTCTTGAAGAGGGTACTGAGGGAGGAGTTGGGAGAAGACCGTAGCAAGCACAAGCTATTGGTGATTTCTGTTAATGCTGCGGTCTTGGAGTCCGGTTTCGTCGGGTTCGATTCCGTTTCGGGTATGGGGGCCAATCGGTTTCATCTCGCTGATGAATGGCCAATGTCGCTTTCCTATACTTTGCCTGAGATTCTGAAAAATCGTGGCAATAATGGTAACGGAGTTGAAGGGGTTGTGTTGAAATTTCAGAGCTTGGGGCGTTTTGTTAATGTTTATGGGTCTTTGGCCAATGGTGGGGCTGGGCTTTATCGGGTATGTTTGGACGAACGCAGATTTGCCCCCATCATTGAATCTGTTTGGGAAAACAGAAATGTGAATGAGAGAGATGGGTTAGTCTCAGAAAGAGAGGTTTTTGAGTTTTGGAAGATTGTGAAGGATGGGATCACATTGCCATTGCTGATTGATCTTTGCGCAAAGGCCAGTTTGCCCGCCCCACCGAGCCTGATGCGCCTTCCACCGGAGCTCAAAATGAAGATTTTGGAGCCACTGTCTGGTGTGGACATTGCCAAAGTGGGTGGGGTTTGTAAGGAGCTGCGAAATCTTGCTAATAAAGATGAGTTGTGGAAGAAGAAGTATGCTGAGGAGTTTGGTAGTGGTACTGGAGGAGAAGGAACAATGATTAACTGGAAGCATAAGTTTGCTAGAAGTTGGGAGACTGCGGAGCAACAAAGGAAGGCAGTAGGGCATTGGAGATCATATGAGAGGCCTTATTTCAACCGTATCAGGAGGGACCCCAACCCATTGTTTTTACCTCCAGTTACTGGTATAATTGGTGGAGATTATGACCGCCTTCCGGTCTTTGGTGCCCTTGATCCTACTGGACAACCACACCCTATTCTACAACCACCCCGTCGGTTTCCAGCACGCCGTAATTTCTCACCAAATTGCAATCTGGGAGGGTTCCTTGGCTAGTATGATGCCTTGGAACTGAAGCTGCAGGTTCATGTTTCGTATGCATAGTATATATAATAAGCATCTTGGTGGATATCCAGCTAGAATTAAAGACTAAATCATCATCAGTCATAGCTGGTTTCTTGTTTCTGTTTATGTGTATATTGTTGTTACTTGTGTTGATGGCCTTTTGGCTTTTGGAGATAATTTAAATTTGATTTCGTAGTTTTTGTGTGAGTCTGTCTATTCTTGATGTGCATATAAGCTGCTCTACTGCTTTATTGTCTAAGTTTCTTACTGTTATCTGTTGGTGCGCTGAGATGGCATGGTTTTCATATATGAAGAGTTTGGGTTAGTTCGATACACATGCTGCTTGTTGTTTAGTTCAATTGGCTGGGGAGTTTAAATAAAATAATGCAGATCAGAAAGATGGTGTTGTCAACTGTGTTTGTTTCTTTCGTTTGGCTGTCATGGTCATAGATTGATTGGTTTACAACTTCTCATATCAAATTAGTTGCAAAGTAGACATTTCCCTGAACTTCTAATACCATAATATGTTACTCTTGTTCGTTCGCATTGTGTTCAGTGCAAGAGTAGTTCAACTTTGCCCGAGTATCAGCACGTTAACAACCTTAAACATCCAAAAGATTGCTCGTCCCTCCCCTGTAGATTCAAACCTTAATTGGAAAACTTTTACAACTCCAATTGTTTAGGGAGAAAAGAATCCAATTGTTATTTCTTGGTTGCACTCTTATCCCAAATTCTGTCACAGGCTCACAGCCCTTACAGGACTATTGAGAGCAACTGCAATTATAGGTACAATTTAAGCAAACTGAGGTGCCACAACTTTTCTACCCTTCATGCAACTCCATACTTGTTTTTATTTTTTGTGAACTTGGGGCTAGACCCCCCAAAAAAAGAAAAGAAAAAAACCAAGACAAGTAAAACATTTGGGGATCTGGCACCCCGCTCAGATCAAGTAAAACAGAGACTATGTAGCCCAGGTCAGCCAGTGACTTATTTTATTTGAAATGATTTTATATTTTTATGCACCACTACTTATAAGAAGAACTCAAGAGTCGAGATCAAAAGGATGATTAGACAATAATTTCTCATCTTTCCCTTTCCATTTTATATTAGATGGGCTTATATAGGGACCGTAGTTTTCCTTTTGCTTTATTTGAATAAGTTTTTAAAACTCTTTCATTTTTTGGACCTATGCAACAAAGAGACGTAAGGAAATGTCTCGGTTCACAACTTCACATCAGACCATGTGCAAAGATGACTTGGTTGACGAGGATTCCACAACTGTAGTTTCATGGAAAGTTTGCGCACTTCATCTTCCCCTCTTGTATATATTCTGCTACCACAACTTTTCCTAAACACACAAATTCCACAAATTACCTTATGCCTGGCTTGTGGTGAAACGGTTGAGTCTGTGACCCACATCCTCAGGGACTGTTCAAAGGCCAAACAAGTTTGGGGCTACTTTTTGAAGCCTAACCAGACTATCTCTTTCTTCTCCACGAACCTTCAAACTTGGATTTTAAATAATTTGTGCTCCAGGGCCTTTTGGCATAGGAATTTGCCTTGGAATATTGTTTTTGTTTTCTCCTGTTGGTTTATCTGGAAATGGAGAAATATCCACATTTTTAACTCGAACGAAGATGCGCCTTCTTTGCCAAAGGAAACTATTATTACTGCTGCTACTGAGTGGGTCAAGGCCTCCTGTACCGCCAGTAAGGTTCCCAAATTGCATCTTATGCTGTCTTGGGTACCTCCTAGAGATGGTTGGTTTAAACTGAACATTGATGGTTCTAGGAGAACTGCCTCAGGAACTATTGGTGCTGGGGGAGTCATCAGAAACTCAAACGGAGATTGGACTGCTGGTTTTGCAATAAACTTAGGAACAGGCCAGGTGTTAGAAGCGGAACTGTGGGGGCTATTCTTTGGCATTAAATTGGCCCTACAGAAAAGACTCTCTCATCTCACCATTGAGATGGACTCCTCTGTTGCTGTTAATCTATTGAAGAAATCTGACTTCCCTCAGGATAACCCCCTTGCTGGTTTACTTTCTGGTTGTCTTAGCCTCATGAGGCAGATTGGGAATATTGAACTCAACCACATCTATAGGGAACAAAACTCTGTCGCTGATGGACTGGCAAACTGGAGCTATAACTTGGACTTAGACTACTGCGAACTGGACGAGCCCCCTGCTTGGATCACTCCAACTGTACTTGATGACTTGTTAGGTGTCTGTAAGATGCGTCTTGTTTCTATTTTGTAATTGCTTCTGCTTTGGGGGCTTGTCCCCACCCAGCTTACCAAAAAAAAAAAGGATGATTAGACAATAATTTCTCATCTTTCCCTTTCCATTTTATATTAGAT